TTTCACAATCTGATAAGTTAAATACTTGTGAGTGTATATCTAAATATTCTCAGTCATGCTTAATCAGTACACTCTTGATTTAAGTACACTTATAAGTTCAGAACTTTCTAAGTGACTGAATTTCTTATACATGTAAGTCACTAAGTCATATCTAAATAAATGTTTTAAATAGAGAGCTTCTGCATATTCTAGATCACAGTAAAGCACAGTATCATTTTTTAATTTTCTCAGCTTGAAGTTCAGAAGTATCTCTTCTATTCCTTTTACAAGATGCTTATCATTCAATATCTTATCATTCTTCAAGTGAGAGATTATTGTATTCACTCATTCTGATTTCTTATATTCTCTTAGCATATTTAATACAAACTTTTCTTATATCTGATTCACAGAACTCTCATTTATGAAATTGAGTTTGTGACTGATTGTATCAGATATCACAGTATCTGATCTCTTTCAGTATTTAATATGAAGATTGTATACTTAAAACTCTGAGATTCAACATGCTAAGTGTTTGAAAGATTTTATTATTAATTATAGATAGACAAGGCTTTCATAATCTGTGATTACTATTGTCATATATCTATTATTGATATATCTATCTTATAATATCAGTGTGTGCTTAATTACTAGCAATTTCTTTTCACACACTGAGTAATTGAGTTCAGTGTCTGATAGTTTTCTATCATTATACATCATCAGATACAGCTTGCTATTCTTACTCATCTGTAGAAGAGTGTCTCTGATAGCTCATTCAGATGTGTCTATCTTAATATAGAAAGGTTTATCACAATCTGATTGAATAAGTACTGAGAATATTATTATATATTTTCTCAGTGTGAGAAAGATTTCTTTACACACAGTATTTCAGATGATTGAATAAAACTTCTTCTTCTGCAGATTGATATTTATTTCTCTTAAGAGATCTGAGAGTAATACAGCTATTCATATGAAATTCTTGATGAATCTACATTAATATGAGATTAACTCAAGAAACTGTTATACATGATGTATATTTCTCAGTCATGATTAATTTACTATGACATTCAATTTCTTCAGAATAAGATATATACAGTTATTACTTACTATATATTCTATAAACTTCAACTCTTCTGTTTTAAACACACACTTTATTAATTTAATATAGAGCTTATACTCTGTCAGAGTTGTGAGCACTTTATCAAGATACTTCAGATATTCATTATATAAGTTTGAGAAGACTAAAATATTATTCAGATATATAAGATATAAGATTTCATTCTATTTATAAAGAATTATATTCATCATCATTTAAAAGATAGCAGATATATTTATCAGACTGAATAATATTATCAGAAATTTAAACTTTTCTCATTATATATTAAACACAGTTCATAGTACTAATAGTTTATCTATACAAATCTATTTATATTCTGAGAGAAGATTAATCTTTGATAGATATCAGATGTTTCTGACTGTATTCAACTGTTGTTGAATCTGTGACAATGAGTATCTGTTCTTGATTGTAAGCTTGTTAAGTGCTTAATAATTAATACATATTCATCACTCTTCACTCATCTTTTTCATGAATAGAACTGAGAAGTCTTATATACTTAATAAAAGTTATATAAGATCATGTTCTAGAAGATCTGTGATCTGATACTTCTGTTCTTTGAAATGTATTTGTGATAGAGAATATACATTCTGATTGACTGATTTCATGTTCTCTATATTAATCTCATGTACAAATTCTTGTTTCAGCAGTAATTTCAGTGAGAGATCTGTTCAGAAGATCTTCTTATACTTCTTCAGAAGTTTCTTCATATACTTATTCTCTTATATATTCTTTATCTTGATTTTCTTCTCTTTTAGATTCTGTATAACATACAGAATGCTTTCAGATGAGATCTTGTAAATTATTCTCTTTACTTATTAATGTATAAGCAGATTTAATTCTTCTATATCAGAGATATGAAATGTTCTTCTCATATCAGTTAATAGAATTGTATGAACTGTTTTCTTTCTATCAGTTAACTGTATATGACATGTATATTATTGAATCTGCAGATTGAATCTTTAAAATCAATTAAGTCTGAGAATAAGATTGTATTTCACATTCTGCAGCTCTTACACTCAAATATAGTAAGATTATTCTCTGAAGTATAAGAGAACTCTTACTCTTGCAGATGATACTAAATATTAATTATCAGACAATTTTATGTATTAAGAATTCTTTACTTAACAGACTTCTTTCAGTCTTCAGATTATATAATTATTAATATATTATATAGAAGCTTCTGTATTTATTAATACTTTTACAGTTATCTCTTAATTCTTACTCAAGTGCTCGCAGCTCTCTATATATTAATATTTCAGATCTTAAGATATTAAGATAAGTGTCTGCTTCTTCATTCTCATCTGCATCTCATTCAGAAGCCTGCTTTCTCTTGATATTCACAGAATTCAGAGAGTCATCTAACACAGACATCTCTTTCACTTTGAAGACTTTTTATAGAATATCAGTGAGTGTCTCTGAGCTCACTGATTCTGCTAGTTTTTTAACTCTCTTGCTTCTCTTAACTGTGTACACTATGTATAATCTTTTACATCATGATTTTGACATCTGCAGTTAAAGTAAGCTTAATACTTATAATATTAAGATTTTCACTCAGAAGATCTCTTTTTCAGAAAATTCAGTGCTTTAGTGATAATATTTAAATCTAGATTCATTGTATCTGAGTGTATAACTTGTATTATAAAAGTCTGATTATCTATTCTCTACTGAAATATACTTAATTGCAGTATTTTCTATCACAGCTGACTCACTTATTTCTGTATAATAAGAATATTATATGCTTCTTTCACTGTATCTGATTATGAGATTAAGCATTTTTATTTCACTCTTAACTCAGGTGTAAGATTATGAATGAAGATCTATAAATAGAAAGATATTAAAAGCTCTTCATTTAATGTAAAATAGTGTAAGCTGAAGTGTATAAAGTATGATATAAGATTATTTACTTATCTACACTCAGTGAAGTATTTATAATACTTATCTTATATATTCACTTTCTCAAAGTTGTGCAAGATTCATTTAAAAAACTTATTTTATATTTATAAAAATGAATACTACTTCAGATCTGTGAGATTCATCTTTTTATCAGTTATTTATAATAACTTTGCTTTTTTATATAGAAATACAGCAGATCTTAAGACTTGTTAAAATTTTATTAACTATCTATCTATGAGTTTACATTTAATCTGATAATATGATTATATCTGACTTAGTCAGCTGATTGCAGTATCATTTTTTCAGTTACTATTAAAGCTTAATAACTTCAGCAGATCTTCTAGCTTGATATATTTTATACTTAAATTCTCATTCTATATAGCAGTCTCAGATAATATGTATACTTCTGAAGAGATTGTGAACAATTGTAATAAGATCTTCAGATTCAGTATAATTACCTATCTGTGTAAATATTCAATCTTCTGCTGTAGATCTATAACCTGGTTTTTTCTATTCTTATTAATAATGATAATTGTGTCAGTAAAGCTCTTTATAGTGAATACTTGATTCACAGTGAATATTAATTATTACTTGACTTTCATCTCACTCTATTATTATATATACAAGATCTTAATCTTGTTTAGAATTCTTGTATATGTACAGAGCTTCAATTTCAGTTTAATAATCTTAACTATTTTTCTTACTATTTTGAGTAAATCTTCTGAGAGATTTTGTATATCTTTCAGTTCAAATAACAGAGAAGAGTGTTATTCATATTAATTAGAGAAGATATTCATTTTGATGATTTTTTATTGATTGTATAGTGTCTATTATTATATCATTTTATAATTTCTGTTATTATTGTATAACTTCAGTGATAAGTACTTCTTTCTTTTATTCTTCTGAGTAGAGAGCAGACTTCTTTGAATCTGATTCATCACTCTTATCTTCTTTCTCACATTTTATTCATTTGTATATGTGATATTCATCTGAGTGTGAAGTTTTTTCTCAATAAGCAGAGCAGTATTAATTAAATACTCTTTCACTTACTACTCTCTTATACATTATCTTTTGAGATGTTTTAGAATCACACTGATATGATAACTATGAATTGTTTTGTAAATGAAATTATTATACTCTGAAGAAGTCTGCACTTCTTATCAGTTTTTAGACATGCTATCAGATGTGATTTAAAGATTGCTTAAGTTAGTGTATGATTACAGATGTACATCAGCTTCTTATATACATTATACTAAATTAATTAATGACTGCTATGATCTCTTTACATTCGTAAGCATGTTCAGAAGTAACTGTGTTATTATTCAGCAATTATACATTCTTCTGAATCACAAAAATAAGTTAATTTTTTGCGGAGAAATTGATTAAAACTATTCAATTTTATTCTAAATCATTCAATTCTTCTCACACAACAAGTGTGCAACTCAAATCAGTTAATAAAAAGTGTAAAAAAGAATTAAGTATTAATGAAAGCTCTTCAGTCACTGAAAAAGTAATTCTTACTTAAAAGAATATGAAATTATAATAGAAAACAACTCTGTTTTTAATTCTTTATAAGAATATTATATAAAACTCTGAGAAAAATATCTTATTTTTTCAAGAGAAGTAAAAAACTAGTTCTAAGATCTTTTTTTTTTACAATAACTGCTGTAGAAGAATGAGATAGAAACTGCTAAGATATATACTACTATATATCTTCTATCAAGACTTTTCCTCTTCAGAATCTTGATATTATAGAGAATATAAGTCTGTTTCTAAATAATAATATAAATATTATTAGCAGAATATAGAGAAACTGAGTATTTATATCTTAAAATAGAAGACTTTGTCAATGATTATATCAATATAGAGTTAATTCTCAAGTTCAATAGAAACCTAGTATTGCTATTCTCAATCTCTTGCAGAATCTATTAAATATTGAGATATTAAAACTAGATTTAATATATCTCACTGTGCAGAGATCAAAGACTCAGTCAGATCTTGAGTTAGACTGATTTTATAGTTGTCCGCTGGTTATGTATTGAATACTATTGCCGAGGTATCTTTTTGTATCTTTCTGCCGGAGATAGGCCAGATTGAGCAGGGCGGTACGTGAGTGGGACTTGGTGTTGATCTTTTGAAACATCAAAGATGGACAGGGTTTTCGTGGAGGTTGCTCTTCAGATATCTCCACAATTACAGGTCAGGGATCTTCCAAAATCAAGAAGATTGGTGCATATGGCTAGGTCTCTTCACCTTACAATTTGTATGGCAATTTGGCCCGGGGTTGTGGTGTGGTAGGGGGAAACAGGGGATAATCCCACACAGGAGTTTCGAACCACGTCTGGTTCACGTTTGGCTGGATAACTCCACCACCACACGAGGTATGCGGTCGGCGATGGGGTCAAAATGCTCGTATGATCGAGTGCTCTTCGATGGATCTATCGGCGGGTTCTTATTCGAAGAATTGAGCGAGTTCGTGATGGGGAGGTGTTTTTTGTGAGATACTCAGTTGTAAGAGGCCTACGCTGAATAGATTGGTATAATATATAGGTCTTATAATACAAAGTGAAAAATGTTAAAGAAGGAAAAGAAAGAGAAAGTGTGAGAATCAGCAATTGAAGTGAATATTTATACACATACATGATGTGTACACAGTGAAGCTTCAGAGTGAAAGAATAGAAATTTCATGAGTTTTTCAGCTGAGAATCAGTGACTGAGAATCAGAGCTTTCAGTGAAATCTGTGAAGTGTAATGAAATAGTCTATATGATTGATCAGATGCAGCCCGTCACATTAGCTCTCTCTCTTCAGAAGTGATATAGAGTCACAGATATATAGTTCTTATTAATCAAGAGCTGCAGTCTTGAATAACACAGAGCTCAGAGTTCAGATCAGACAATCATAGCTAACTCATTTCATAAGATATTATCAGCTGTGGCTGTGAAATCTCTTATTAAGAATATCTTCAATCTCTTATTCAAGTTTGTTATCTTCTTCTATGATTTCTAACAGCTGTTAATCAGAAGTTAGTTAAGAAGAGAATAGATTAATGATAACACAGTGAAGTAAGCTTATATAAAAGACATTATAAATCTCTGATAATATATCAAGATAGTAGTTATAACTGTCTAGAACTTTTATCACTTTATACTTTATATAATGATAATTCAGTGTGTAAGATAAGTATATAATCTGTATATTCTTAAGATTTAATCATATCAGATCTTCTATCTTATATTACTCAGCAGAATCTCAGTGAATATTGATTCAGTTCTCTTGATCTTATTTAACACTTATTATGAAGACTTCTGTTCAGTCATAGATATCTTGAAACTTTATTACTATATTATCAGTGATCTGAATTGAACTGTGAAGATTCAGTATGAACTGTATAATCTCTAGAAGATTTAACACTTTCATGTAATAACTATATATAAGAAAGAACAGACTTATATCTGTTAAGATAGCATCTTAATTATTAATAGTAATCTCTGTATATAGAAGAAGATTATATTAATTATCTTATAAATAATTACAGAACTTATAAAGATAATTCTTTACAGTCTGAATTATTCATTCTAATACATTATCAGTCTCAGAGTGATAGACAGTTGATAAATAGTATATAATTTTAAAAACTTGACAGATTCTTATTCAGAGAGTGCTCATAAATTAATAACTCTGATTTAATATTATAGATCTCAGTAATTTATGCATCTAATAGAACAGACTCTGTAGAAAGACTTTAATAACTGATTCAGTATTTATCTTATTATAAGATTTCAATATTATATCTTTATTTAATCAGTTCATGATAATCAGAACATTCTTATAATTCTTACTCTTAAAGAGATTAATAGCAAAGTTAATTACTATATCTTATCAGATTCTATTAGAGATATTAAGTGATTTCAGTAAATCTTTTCTACAGTTCTTTTATAAAATGATGAAAGAATAATAGTTGCAGTTTCAAATGAAATATCTGATACTGTTTAATATTTCAGATCAGTAGAACTCTTGAGAGATCATTCAGTATAATTGTTTATAATCTGAGTGACTGATTATATACAAATCATGCATCTCTTGCATTATCTGAGTGTGTAAGAATTCAGAGTAAGAGACTTAATATTATTCATAAAACTGTAGAGTGTTATTATCATTGATTGAGTATTCTGAGATGTCAGTTCTTATATATAGTTCTGAGAGGAATTGAGATGCTTCTTGACACACTGCTTTGATAAGTGCTTGAAGAAGTTCATCAGTTTGAGCTGTTACATATTATAATTCATTCAGTGTAGGTTCAGAAGAAGTTGAGATATCAGTATCAGTATCAGTATTAATATCAGTGTCAGTGTTAATGACAGTTTGAAGAGAGAGTGTTCTAATTAAAGAAGTGTATATAGTGTTATAAATTGTTTCATCTTGATTAACTAATATCTTCAGATCTAGAAGCTGATATTCTCAATTTATTCAACAGATATCTGTTACATTGAAAGACATATCTTACTCTTATTATGAAAGAGTATCTGTCATTGAGTTCTAGCTCTCAGAACAGTAGTGTATTATAAAATAAAAGCAGCTTAAGAACTCAGATCATTGTATCTGTTATTCAGTGAGTTTACAGATAGTTATAAAGTACTTGAAATTCTTATAATCTGTGATTATCTCAAATTCAGAGACACTTCAGAGTTCAGAGTCTCATTCTTCTAGATAATGTATAATTGTAAAAAGTTTCTTATCATAGATCTCATAGTTGCATTCAGTAAGACTCAGTTTCTTAGACATGAAGATATATAATTATAAGATATCTTCATTATCATATTATAATATAGCTTTCTCTGTAATATAGTCAGAGAAGTCAGCTTCAACAACTATTTCATAATCAGAATTAAATATCATTAGTAGAGAGATATTAATGAACATCTTCTTTATCTGTATAAATACAGCTTCAGTGTTTACTGATCACTGAAATACTGAGTTCTTTCTGATAAGTTCTGTAAATGATCTTATAATATCTAAGAAGTTTTGTATAAATCACTGATAGAAGTTAGCAAATTCAATGAAGCTTTGTATATCTTTCACAGTATATGAAGCTTCTCATTCAAGAATAATGAAGACTTTCTCAGAATTCATTCAAATTCTCTTATCAGCTTCTATAATAAAATCTAGATATTTAGTACTCTTGACTTCAAAGTTATACTTATCAATATCTATTGATAGTTCTGCTTCTTATAATCATTGTAATACTCTTCATACATGTTCTTAATGTTCTTTTCTGAACTTATTAGTGAAGATGAGAATGTTATTGAGATATGCAGATACAAATTTATCAAGAAAATTCTGAAGTGCTCAGTTAATATACTTCTGAAATATACTGAGAGTATTAATTAGTTCAAAGAGTGTAACTATTCATTCAAAGAGATTATAATATGTTCAGAATACTGTAAGTTATTCATCTTCTTCAGTAATATGAATTTTATTAAATGTGATAATAATATTTAATTTTATAAATCATTGAGCTTGTCTGATGCAAGCTAGAGTTTCATTGATAAGAGATAAAGAATAACAGTTCTTCTTGATTAATCTGTTCAATTCTCAATAGTTTACACAGAATTGAAGTTCTTCATCTGATTTCTTTGCAAAGAGAATAGAAGCTGTAGTGAAAGAGTTGCTAACATGTATAAATTTCTTATTCAATAGATCATTGAGTGTCTTCTGAAGAAGAAGAAGTTCATCTTGAGACATATTATAAAGAGAGTTTTATAATGACTTGAGATTCTTATCATTCTTCTTTTCTAACTTGATATTGTGATCTACTTCTAAGTCTTATAAAAGAGATATATTTATAATATTATCTTGTCAGAAGACATCTAGATATTCATGATATTATTAAGAGAGTTTTGTATGAGAATCTGTTATTATTAGACTGGCCGGCGGGACCATGAATTTCACATTTGATCCCATTTGATCTGGTCTCATACATTTCTTGACGTGAGTCCCACCAGGACCAAGTCTCAAAAAAATCTGAAAATGAACCATTTCTGAGAGAAATGATGTGAAAAATGACCAGATTTAATTCAAGAACAGTGAAATGAGAGTAATTTCTCAGAATAAACTGTGAAAGATGATCATTCTTTCAAAATCAGAATGAGACTGAGACTGAAGATCAAAATCAGTCTTATTCAGTTCATTCAGTGATTGCTTATATAATCAGAATTTGGTAATGATTATTGATAACACTCATGAAACAACTAAATACATTCTTGTACAAGTTTATTCTTCACTTTCTCATGAAAACTACACTTCTCTGATATACTGTGATCAGAGGTATTAAACTGTCTGATAATTTCATGTTTTATAATCATGAGTTTCTTGATTGTTTCTCCTTGTAATTGTCTCTGATGATAGTGACAAATATCTTGACTTGAGTTGAACTTTCACTTCATTCTCACCTCTGTCAATGAAATTGTCAGAATATCACATGTCATCAGTGTAACAGTTGAATATGTACTCTCAACAATTTTTCATAACTCTAGAATTGATTTAGTGTGTAAATTCATTGAATTATCTTGAAGATAGCAGTCAAATTCAGTTTTATAAGCATGTAGTTTTGCCTGATTTTCAGTTATAATCAATGTATGCAAGTTCTGTTTCAAAGTTAGTATTATAGTTCTATATGATATGAAGTGTTATCAAAGATCATTACTTACTAGAGAATTGTATTTCACTGTCTTCATATCTTGAACATCTACTCATTCAAATCTCTGATAGTTGATATTGTAGTAGTCTCAGACTAATTTAATATATGAGTCTCATTCCTTCTCTGTTCAATCTTGAGAAGTGTAGATATTAACTTGATAGAAGGAATTTAGTAGAGCTGCTATAGTATAGTACTCTGCAAAAGATTGTTCAGTTTTGCTGTAGTAATATGCCAGTTTATCTCTTATAGTAATAATAGCCTGCACTATAGTATTATCCCAGACTGAATTTCTTTTTGAGTGATTCAACTGCTTCTCAAGATAAGTAAATAAACTGTTATACACTTATCAGGCTGACTGCAGCATTGATGTATGAGTGATTGAGACTGTCTTTATTATCTTATAAAACTGAAACAGTAAATCAATCATATATTTCAACTGAGTTC